TTTTTTTTTTTTAAAAAGTCCTTACTGGGAAAAGAAAAAGAAAAAAAATCCAATATACAGGTTAATATTTTACATTTCTGATTAAAAATTACAAAAAGAAAGCAAGAAAATAAAAACACTTACTGAGAGCCAGCCCAGGGCCAGGTACCATTCTGAGCACTGGGGATACAGCTCTGAGCAAAATGGGCAGAAATACTTCCTGGCACAGGACTGTTGTTCTGGAGGGGGAATGTCTGGGTTCTCTGGGGCTGCAGTAAGAAATTGCCAGGGTCTAGCCTCGGCGGGGGTGGGTTATCTCATCGGAAGTGGCACAGGAAGGGAAGATGAAGGCCTTGGTTCCTTTTTTATGCACGTCCTCAGTCGGACACTCCCAGAGATCGCTCTCTGAAGAGTGACAACTGCTAGGAATCATCGTGCCTTTTTATTGAAAATGTGATACATGCAAGTAAACGGGAGAGGGGCTACGTGTTCTAATTATCAGTTCATAAAGTTTTAACAATAGGGAACATAGGTTCCATTCAGGGTTGGATTAAGGGTGGGTCTATTGCAGTTCAGCAATTGTTTGATGTAGGCAGGTCTTCATGGAATGCAGTTTCGGGAAAGCAGCTCCAGCAAGCAGAGATAATTATCAGCTGATGTGGCGGCAGCCATCTTGTGATTACTGAACACGATGCTGAGAAAAGAAAATCTCAAGTATAGATATTAGTTCTTAATGGATCTCAATAATGATACTTATATAGTTTTATAGGGATCTAAAACTTAATTCAAGGAATCCTAATATATTTATCTATTCTAAAGGGGTGAAGCTATTGTTCACTTGGTGAGGGCGGGGATACTTTAAACAGCTTTTTCAACTGGCGGTAAAGTGACTAACAAGTTAATGAAGAACTTTAAAGTGGGTTTGTGGTATACCTAAGCATTCTATTGTGCCTGTGGTGCCACTGTTATGTATTTTGTTAGAAGATTAGCTACCGTAGGGTGGGAGTGTCCTGGGCCAGTTTCAGCCTAATTCTATTTTATGTAAAGAAAAGGTTATTTTTTGGGAACCAGCAGTTAGCGTAATGGCTATGTCGCTGGACTCCCACGTAGTCGACCGTGGTTCGCGTCCTGGACCCGGTGGCTTAAAACTCACGCCGAGTGCGTGTGCGTGCATGCCCAAGATCCCGAGAGGAGAATGGAGGAGAAGGGATTGCGGCATGACCATCCCCCCGGGGGGTGATTTCTCGCTTTCTGTCTCTATGTCTCTGTCTGTCTGTCTGGCGAGCGCACGCACCCTATAGTGAAAACCTCTCAAAAAAAAAGAAAAAAGAAAAAAGAAAAGAAAAGAAAAGAAAGAAAAAAGAAAAGGTTATTTATAAGCTTATGTTAAATGTGGCTTGAAAGGCCTTCCAAAGGTCAAGAAGATTTCTGCCTAGATGGAACTTCAGCACACCCTCCATTGTGACCACAGGGACGAAGCATTGTAATTAACAGTAATTAACAGGTGGTAAGGGCAAAGGGGAGCAGTCAGGGGACTTTCGGGAAATTTTATCAGATACTCAGAATGTATAAGAGAGCTATGTAATTCTTTTATAGTAGTATATCAGGGAGTCAGAGGGGGGTCGCTTCCTAGCAAGGCTACCGCAGTCTCTGGAGCATACAGCAAGTGGCCTTGCCAACATGCTGAGTCGACCCAAGCTGTGCTCAAAAGTTGGGGGGCTCAAACAGATCCTGGGGCCCCGCTGGGTCGGACTCCTCCAAGAAATCACCACAGGCCCTGGTGACATGTGCCTGGAGGTTAGAAGTCTGAAATCAGGGTGTTGGCAGCCCCCGCTCCCTCTCAGGACTCGAGAAAACAATCCTTCGACTTCCCAGAAGTTCCTCGCCTTGAAGAAGCAAAACCCCAGTCTCTGGCTCTGTCTTCTCTTTTTTTTCCTGCATGCCTCTGTGTCATCACGCGATGTGTCCCTGTGTGTCTCAAATTCCCCTCCCTTGTAAGGACACCAGTCATTGGATTAGGGCTTTCCCTGATCTGCTATGCCTTCACCTTAACTCGATAGCATCTGTAAAGACCCCTTTCCACATCAGGTCAGAGGCACAGGTACCTGGGCGTTGGGACTTAAACATATTTTTTTGGAAGACCACAGTTCTACTCATGACAGGCAATAGCTAAGAGAGAGAAAAAGACCATGTACCCCAGCGGGTGGTAGGTGTCGTGTGACAGGGTGTAAAATGAAGCAGGGAGGGCGTAAAGGTCTGAGGGACTGTGAGGGGAGCCAGGGAGGCCTCCCAGGGAACGTGACATCTGAGACAGGACTTAAGAAGGTAAGAAAGCCAGCGTGTGCGTGTGTATGTGTGTGTGTGTGTAAGTAAGTGAGGAGTGGAAACCAGGTGGGCACGGAGCAGAGGGCTTGAGGTGGGTGTTCCTGCACACCCGAGGAACTTCAAGGAGGCTGTGCTGGAAGGCAAGGAAGGGCAGGGAGTGCTGGGGAGTGAAGCCAGTGAGGCCGCAGGGCTGATGGAGGCTGGGGTCCGTGACACGTTGAGTCCCCATTTATGGTTGCCTGTCTCGTGGGGTAGCCTTCAGCCACAGGATTCTGGTGGTTTCTGTCCTCCCCACAGACATCTACGCCATCGGGGTGGGCGAGCTGGATGTGGACTGGAGGGAACTGAACGAGCTGGGGTCGAAGAAGGATGGTGAGAGGCATGCCTTCCGGCTGTCGGACGCAAAGGCTCTGCAACAGGTGTTCGAGCACATGCTGGGTGAGCAACCTTCCCCCCCCCCCGGACAGGATGGTGAGGAGCTAGCTGGCCCAGGTGTGACCCTGGACACAGCACCCTCATCTGCCTCCTTCCCCATATGTCCCTCGTACCCACAGATGTCTCCAAGCTCACGGATACCATCTGTGGGGTGGGGAACATGTCAGCCAATGCCTCTGACCAGGAGAGGACACCTTGGCACGTCACCATTAAGGTACTCGGGTCCCAGGGGTGGAGGTGGCCGTGGGCAGAGGTGTGGCAGGTCCTGAAGACCCCTTGCTCTCCTGCAGCCCAGGAGCCAGGAGACCTGCCGGGGGGCCCTCATCTCCGACCAGTGGGTCCTGACAGCGGCTCACTGCTTCCGCCACGCCGAGGAGGACCGCTCCCTGTGGAGGGTCCACGTGGGTAAGGCAGAAGCCTCCCTGGGCTCCCAGTCCCGCCAACAGAGGTCCCGCCACCTGTCCCCAGCCTGGTCCCTTCCGGAGCCCTGGTCCTGCCTAATCTGCCGTATTGTCCTCAGGGGATCCCAGCTCCCAGTGGGGCAAAGACTACAGTATTGAGGAGGCGGTGATCTCCTCGGGGTTTAACGTCTCTGCCAAGAAGAACCAGGGGATCCCGGAGTTCTACGGCGATGACATCGCCTTGCTGAAGCTGACCCAGAAAGTCAAGATGTCCAGTCACGCCAGGTGCCAGAGTCTGGGATGGGAGGTTGCTGTGAGGGAGAGCGCTGGGGAGCCCCTGAGGCGACAGGGGACGTGACCTGTCCTCCTCTCCAGGCCCATCTGCCTCCCCTGCACGGTGGAGGCCAACCTGGCTCTGCGGCGGCCTCCGGGGAGCACCTGTCGGGATCACGGTGAGTGTGGGGTTTAGAGCTCAGGGACAGCTGGGGCCGGTGCCCGGGGCGTGATGCAGCCTGGCCGCAGTCCCTACGCGGGGCGTCTGAACTTGGGGCAAAGGAACCAGCACGGACACCCCCTCTTCGATTGCAGAGAATGAACTTCTCAGCCAAGTGAACATTCCCGCGCATTTTGTCGCCTTGAATGGGAACAAAATGAACATCCACCTCAAGATGGGGACAGAGGTGAGTCTTGGATCAGGGAGCTGAGAGCCTCCTCCAGGCAGCTCCTCGAAGGTCCCTCTTCCAGCCCCGGCCCCGGCCACTTTCTCTGTCTGACTCGGCCACCCCTCCCCTCAGGCCTGGCTGGTCAGCCCGGCATCCCTGGCGTCTGCTCATCCATCCTTCTCTCCTGCTCCACCCTCCTGCAGAGGACAAGCTGTATCAACGCCGTCACCCAAGACAAAGTCGTGTTCCCCGAGCTGACTGATGTCACAGAGGTGGTGACAGATCAGTTTCTGTGCAGTGGAACCCGGCAGGACGACCATCCCTGCAAGGGTGAGGAACCCCCCATCACCACCATGCCTGGATTCCAGGGGGAAGGCCACTGGTGTCCCTGTGGCTAGCACACATGCCAGGACACCAGTGTGGCCTGGATGACACTGTCTTCTGTCCTTTGTTGGCAGGAGAATCTGGGGGAGCCGTTTTCCTTGAGAAGAGAATGAGGTTTTTTCAGGTAAAAAGGGAGAAGCTTGCAGGATGGGGTGACAGGATCTCGGCCCTGCTGGAGGCATGGGACAGGTCTCGGAAGGAACCAGGGAGGTTGGGGGCTAGAGCTGGGGCAGCGGTGACCTCCCACCCTCTCCTCCTTCCCTCCAGGTGGGCCTGGTGAGCTGGGGTCTGTACAACCCCTGTGCTGGTGCCAAAGACAAAAACTTCCGCGGAAAACCCCATCCCGGCCGGGTGCCCCCGCCACGGGACTTCCACATCAATCTCTTCCGCCTGCAGCCCTGGCTGAGGCAGCACTTGGACGGGGTCCTGAACTTTCTGCCCCTCTGATCCGGGCCCATGCCCTTTGCTGTTGTGCCAGGATCTGCCATCTCTCCTACCTTCCAGTTCCGAAAGCCCACCCTCAGCCCCCAGACTGAGGCAATCCCTGTCTCCGCATGGCATCCTGGAGGCAGCGCTGGCAAGCTGGGGAAATTCCCTGGTGCCGCCCACTCCTCCTCCTCCTCCCCCTGGTCTACTTGATGCATGCTCCTTTCACTTTCACGTGGAATTTCCAAATTATGAAATGAATAAAAACCAGTGATTTCCACATCTGTCTGTGTTTCTGCCCGGGGCCAGGCAGGGCTTGCCCGGTGGGGAGGGGAAAGAAGCGGCCAGAGTGATTCCAGGAACCACAGCAGGGCAGGTCAGAGACCCTGCAGGACAAACAGTGGCTGGACTCTGCCCCACACACATGGTCAACAGGGGATCAAGCTGGGAGCCTCGTTCCTGGTCTCCAAGGGGACGGCCCGAGCTGGCTGGGGAGGATTGAGGGCCGAGAGGAGGGGTGGGGGGGAACGCCCTGGACCTTGGCTGCAGAGGGCGGGCGCAGTTGCTATTTCCTCAACTGGCAGCTCACGGGCCCTCCCACTGGACGTTCCGGGAAAGCGAGGTGGGTAGGGCAGGCGGGGTGAGCTGCAGGTGCCAGAACACAGATTGCATATAAGGCTGGGGGCTGGTGGGGGCAGGGGAAGGGAGTGCACCAGACCCAGGTCTGGAGTTTCAGATTGGACGCTGAGCCCTGCGGACACTCCGAGAAGGCTGGGGCTGGCCAACCTGACATCGTCCCGGCTTCTGTCCTGCCCTCCATAGCCATGGGGAGCCATCTCAGCCCCCAGCTCTGCCTGCTGTCCTTGGTCTTGGGCCTCCTGTCTGGAGGTAAGTGGGGTCACGTCCCCCCCCCTGCTGCTCCAGCATCCTTCCGTGGCCAGGTGGGGCCAGGCTTCATCGGCTTTTCTCCTCAGGCGTGAGCGCGACCCCAGTGCCTGCAGACCAGTCCCAGAGATCCTGTTCTCCGGAGGAGGCTGCGATCAAAGGCGGCTCCTTCCGGCTCCTGCAGGAGGGCCGCACCCTGGAGTACGTGTGTCCCTCTGGCTTCTACCCGTACCCCGCTCAGACGCGCACCTGCAGGTCCACGGGGTCTTGGAACACTCTGAAGACCCAAGACCAGAAGATAGTCAAGAAGGCCGAGTGCAGAGGTTTGTGGGTGGTGAGCGCAGGCAGTGGGCCGGAGGAGGGACAGTGCAGGTGGTGGCCAGGGCCTGGACCAGCACGAGATTAGAACTGTCCTGAGCTGATCGGGACACGTGGCAGGCTGGCCCGTGGGACTAACAAGCAGGGGAAGCTCTGGGAAAGGAGGGAGGAGAAAGGCAGCCGACCCTTGCTGTCGGGGAGCCCTGGCAGGCAGGAGCAGCGGCCGTCCAGGAGGCCGAGGGGTAGCCGGTGCTTCCGGGCGGCGACGAGGGACAGGGGCTC